GGGGCTCAACCTCCTGTTTGATACCCACTTTTGATGATTGAATGCAGTGATGTACAACAAAAAACATCATTTTAGAGAATGTGAAAAATTGTAACTAACAAATCGGACACAGAACATGCCGTAGCAATTTTTTCTCTTATAGTTTTGACCCTTGAAAATCTGCAAAAAATATAAAAGGGTAAGATTTCACTGAAATTTAAAGAACTAAAAATATTTATTGGATAATAGCTATGAAAAATGGACTTTTTTCAAAAATCTCGTCGGGGCGACCTCTAAACAACATTTCCCAGAGTTGCCGCGATACAAAAGTTTGTTTGTAACATCCCTAGCTATCATTTGGAGGCTGAGCCCCCAGATTTCCAGACATAGTGCAATTTTGGGACACCCTAATAGATAAGTTTAGGGAAAATAAGTGAGCGTTTATAATGGTTAGGATACTTAAGGAAAATTGTCGAAACTTCAAGGCAAATCAATTAATTTCAGTAAAGTTGCGGCTTCATAAAATATACTGATCAATTCAGGGCAGTCTAGAGAACTTTTTTTAAGCAGTTTTAATCACACCATGAAAGTCTTGACTATTGAAGAAGTCTTAAATTAGGGTCGATAATTTAATAGATGTTTCATGAACTTCAGAAAAATCTTGAGAACCTCAGTGAAAATCATAGAACTATATTAATTATTTCGTTTGAATTCCATGGAAATTGCGGTTGCACAAAAATTCCAGAAATATAGAAAAACTTCGAAAACCTCTCCGAAGACCAGTGGTCTTCAGAATCATTTCGAGAACTTCATAGAAATCTATTGAGCTTAAGGGGAAATCCGTGATTTTCAGGAACTTTTATGAACATTAGCAATTTGGAGGGATTTCAGGGAGAGGTCAGTTCCACTAGTTTCAGAAAATTAGTGGGAAATTTAAAGCAGTTCCCAGATTTCCAGAAGTTCACTGAAGCTTAAACATGTTTAGGACGGTTCAATTAAATTCAGCGCAGTACAACAAGCTTCATGGGAACTGCAAAAACGTTAGAGCAATTTTGAGAATTTCAGAAAAGAACCGAGAACTTTAGAGCAGTTCCGTTAACATTAGAGAAGTCGTATAAATTTTAAAGAAGTTTAGATAACTTCAGCGAATTGTTAAACTTTTAGAGGAGATCCACGATCGTTAGACAAATTAAGGAAACTTTAGGAAGTCCTATAAAGTTCAGGGAAGTTTAAGAATTTGATGAGTAGTATTGTCAGGCTAGTTTCTCAAACTACCAAAGAACTTCAAGGCAGTTTCATTAACTTCTGGAAAATTTTGGGAACTTTCAAGTAGTTTTGAAGACCTCAGAATAGTCCATTCCATATTCAATGGAAATTTCGATGAAGCTATCCTCCGAATTCAATTTTCTTTTAGTTTTCCTCGGAATTATCTTGAAATTCTCCACAATAAGAAAACCGTTGGAAAGATTCTCCGAATATTAATTGAATTAATTTCAGATTTTATTTTCAATCTCACTCCTTCCCTTGGAATTCTGCTCACATTGAAAGTATTCTAAGAATTCATTGGCATTTCTCATCACAAATTCCTTAGATTTATTCTCATAATTTGTTTGGCAAACTCTCCTGAATTCATTTTCCGAATTCCTATGAAGATGTCCTGCAGTTATTCTCAGATTTAATTGTAATCCTCCTTTTATTATTTTCAAAAAAATTCCAAGGGCTTATGCTCCGAATTTGTTTTCTCCCACAAACTTTATGAAATTATCCTCAGAATGCCCTTGGAATTTTCCTTTGAAGTTCACAGGAGTTGTGGTCCTCAGAAATTCCTAAGAGTCATCATTGAAATTTACTTTTAATTCAATTCAGGGTTCCTTGAAATTCTACTCATAACTATCAGGCTTGTCATGAAATCTAAAACTGGACTGGATCTAAGAAAATAAAATCTAAATCTGAGTGAGATTTAATTGAGTTCAAGATTCTGAATAAAATCAAAGTAAAGTTTGTAAATTACGAGTTCCAAAAATATGTACTTCTGTCAAACAGTGGCGCAGTCTGGATTTCTATTTCTAACCGTTTTAGTTTTAAGAATTATGTGATTAAAAAAATAAAGTTCATTCCATTTTCATGCCCCAAATAACGATAATTTGTTTGGAACGAGATCTTCCTCCATAACAGTCTTGAAATTCTGTGCAGAACACTTTACAAAATTCCCCTAAAATCAATCCTGAAATTTACTCAATTCTTCTTTTTCTGCTTTGGACAGAGATGGGCTCTGCGTAGTGGTTAGAATCCATGCTTCTCACGCTCTCCGGACGAATGACCCAAAAATGTGTTAAAGTGACTATAATACAAGGAAAATCAAAAGGACTAAGTTCTCCAAATCGCCCTGGAGCTCAGATCCAATTATCTACTGGGTCTTCCACGATTGTGCAATATATTAACAACAATATATTAGCAATCATTGACGGTAAATTTCAATGTAGATGACGTTCTAGGTTCTCCAAATCATCCTTGGATTATCTGATAGCAAGTTATCAATGGATGAAGTTCTTCGGGGTTGTTCATTGCAAAAAGGTGATGTTTGACTTGATCAACTGCTTGCTGTATCCAAGGCCTGACTTCGCTGAATACCTCCAATCGTTCAGTAACACAATAAATGGAACATAACACTGGCTAAAAAGAAGACGACAATTCAAACTAAACTAAAAATAAAAGACATTTTAGGATTGAGTTTCACAATGTTTCCAGAATGTTCAGAAGATTTCGAATGTTGTTTTGTTAGATATCCGGAAATGGCAAAATTAAATCATAAATCAATAGAAATAATTCATTGTTGGACACAAATAACTCGAAGGAACTGAATCGAGGACTCCTAAGCGTCCCTAATTAGCATTAGCATTATTGACCGCCCACGGTTGCTACTCTGTTATTACCAGATCAGCTGCAATTACACAGAGAACCAACAGATGATGTTTGGGACTAATATTCATCCTAAATGTGTAAAAACTGAAGATCTAATATTTAGCAATACCAGCGCCGGACGTGTCCGAATGCAGGTCCAATAGGGAATTAACTTTAACTTAACTTTGACTTAACTTTAACATAACTTTAACTTAACTTTGAATTAACTTTAACTTAACTTTAACTTAACTTTAACCTAACTTTAACTTAACTTTAACTTAACTTTAACTTAACTTTAACTTAACTTTAACTTAACTTTATCTTAGCTTTAACTTAACTTTAACTTAACTTTATCTTAGCTTTAACTTAACTTTAACTTTACTTTAACTTAACTTTAACTTAACTTTAATTTTAATTTAACTTTACATTAACTTTAATTTAACTTCTGTAGGCTAGTTCATCTCTAAGCTGAAAGAGTGAATATTTATAATATAAATGCAAAATTCAATAATATAAATGAAATATTATAATATAATCCTAGAGGTGTTTCATCATCGAAGAGCTGAAATCAAGCTTGAATAATTAAAATCCATACATCACGCATGAATGAAAACTGTAAATCTAATGATGTCATATATTCAAATATTCAACGATCTGAAAATAAACTTATCTTATTTAAAACAATGGATCTAACTTGAGTGAAGGCTGAGAAAAACTAATCATTACGTTATAAATCCAAAGATGTTCCGTCATCAACGATCTCAAAAGATGTTTCATCATTGAAGAGATGAAATTTTTTTTTTAAATAATAATATTTCTTCAGAGGGCTCCTAAGCGTCCCTAATGACCTTAAAGTGAATTCATGTGTGCATTGCATATCAAATGCGTTTTGACTGACCAGTAATGTATTATTTACCTTTTTATATCTACCATAGAACTGCAAACCATATAGGAACGAACGACAGACTTCCAGCAATTTTGAATGCAAATGTCTTCGTTTAGCCTATATTCCATCATCAAATCGGAATGCTGCGCTCGGAGCTGTCTGTCTCTGTCTGTCTGCGTTTCATTGTTTCAACCAAAGGCTTCATTATTATCAGACCGAAACTTAATCGCCTAATTGCAATCGTTTCATTCGCCACTACCGTCGTAATCTCAACCAGAGTCCAGAATGCATCTTCTTTCTCTGTATTTTTGCTGTCTCGTAGTGATAGTAATAGGTAGCGACTATGGAGGACAAACATCAACACAACAGTCGCACCGTTGAGATGTCTAGTAGGTACCTACACCCAACCGGGAAATGTAAGATTCTATTACAGATTTGCATGAAAAGTTTGCAGATTCTGTAATGTGATCGCCGGAAGGTTTTTAAAATAATTTTGCAATTGTTATGGTATTGCGTTTAGACGCTGCAGTTCCTTGCAAAAACTATGAAACATATGCAAAGGATGTAATCAATCCAGCCTTACATTGGATGTGTAAGACCAATTTGCTTTGCGTGTATATGTACAAAACCGTACTGTATGGCTCGGGAGACGAGCAGCAAGCGAGCCAAGTAACAGCCGGCAACCGAATTGTCATATCTTATCAGCATTATGAGCTGGAACTGGAGGTCGGAGTGGGGGTAGGTAGTGGTCGGTTGGCCGGTCGGTCGGTCGGACTCGTTACGTTGCTGGACGTCGACGACACTATCTTGTTGTTTGCCTACATATAGCACCGAAAGCACGTGGCAAATCCACTAGCTAGCAGTACTATGTGATCATCCCTGCTGAGGCTTTCCCTCCGTGTCTGTTACCTCCGAAAGTGACCGACACCGAAGCGCTCGCTGGCAGTATGATAGCTCTAGCTGCAAGCCGACGACAAGCGATAAAACCTCAGCAAGTGTACTCTTATACTAGTCATTTTTGAGAATTCCGTTCGATTGGTTGTGAAACTTTCAGAATTGTTACGTTTGTCGCGTTTCGTTGTTTTTCTCTAGCTAATTGATTCGGGACTGTTGTTTGATTTCTATTATCATTGATACTGTGACTAAGCGTAAATACGAAAATGGTTAGACAATGATTGTCAGTAGAATTGAATCACGTAATCTGATGGTTGTTTTTCTTTCTGTTCCTTTGCAGGTTTCTGTAACGAGTGAAACCACTCCACAAGATGGACAAGTCATCCGCAGCGGGTGCCGCATCGGGGCCTAAAGTGTCCCAGATTGCCAATCTATTCCAGCGAAAGCCGGTGGAAGTGACACCGGAAGTGTCAGCCAAGGAGGTCATAAATCATCCTTCCCCGACGGCAACCGTAGTCCGGACCGAGTCCCACGCAGCGCGGTTCAACAACGCACGGGCTCTGTTTGAAAAACTCGGCGAAGGACGCGTCAACAGGCCACCGCCATTCAGTATTAAAATGTCACATTCCAGTAGTAAGGAGGACAATCTGTCGGAGGTCGGTTCCGAGCATGATCGATCCCCCTCTCCCAAGCGAAGACATCACCCGATCAGTAACGGGATTGGAAAGCTGGATTCCAATAGGATATTGAACCAGTCGCGATTGAAGTCGGAAAAGCCCGAGAAACCGGAGAAGCCGGAACGGAAGTTCAACTCCCGTGAGTTGATCGAGAAACAGAAAAATTGGACATCACATTTTTCCAAGACGCGAACAACAAAGGTTGGCAGCGATTTTAATCGATGTGATATTATAAGGACTGTCCCTGGAACGGGAATCATACCTGGAGGTAGCAACGCTACGAGCAATCCGATCACTACCAATGGTGACGCCTGTGTGCAATCATCCAAAGAGCCCAGTAGACCACGGCTGCCGGAAGTTCAACATACTCCGGTTCCGGTGCAGCATCGGTTACAGTCACCCAGTGAACCACCTCCTAGTCCTCCCAAAAGACAGACTCCTCCTCCGCCTCCACCGGAGAAGGGTCCCCGTAACATTCGTCAGAATTCATTCCCATCGCCAACCAAAATTCCTCCAGCCGTTCCTCCACATGCAATCGACCCTAGTTCGCTAAGTCCCACCAAGATCAGCCCGGAAAAGCTCAAATCACCTCTCCGGCAAGCGGAACCCCCACCACCAGTCGTTCCATCTTCGCTACCTCCCGTTGCACCCGTTCGCAGCAACAACAACAACAATAACAACAAATCGGACGAACCACCGGAAAAGGGCGTCCGTAAGAAGTCGCTCGAAACCACCTTGGACGAACAGGCGACCAAAACGTTCAAATATCCGGAACTGGGTGGCCTCCGGCGGCAGTCGACCGAGAAGGACAGTGGTACCAGCGGTTTGACGTCGCCGGCCCATGCCATTAGCTCGTCGCCGAGCCCTGGGGCCAGTGCCTCATCGGGACCTTCTTCGCCGATTCACACCGAAGACGAAAAGCAGGAGAATGAACCCACGGAGAAAGCCGACAAGCTGGACGAAGACGAAGGCATTCCGGCGGAGGAAAAAAGCGGTAAGTGGATTTCACTTCCTTTAACGATAACAATACTGTTTCGGGGCTCCCCGGGGTTCGGTTCTATTCGGATTGATTGCGTTGATTCCTACATTTGGAATGTGTACGATAAGAAATGGTTAACTTTTTATATGAATCATTGCACCCACCAGTTGGGTTTAAGCAGAGGCGCCGATGTAAGCGATGATTCGGAGGGGTCAAGATATGTTTTATATTAATCCTGAATAATCCAAAGGCATATACTGCTTATCATCGCATATCAGTCCCACAATTATATGCGAAAAAACTAAGGACTTTGATCATGAAAGATGTGAAACAACATCAAGTCAGTTTGTCCCTTCAAGCAAGGTAATCGCATACAGGGCTGGTAGTAGGTCACTAAAAAGTCACTTTTTACACCAAAAAATTAACAAAAGTCACTTTTTTCACAACCAATATAGATTGTGAAGGATTTTAAATTAAAAAAAATATCATCAACTTGTTTAAATTGAGTGCTTGGCACTTACAGTAGTTATGACGAAATATGCAAAAAACCCCGAAATACTCATGGAATTTTAATACACTAGGATAAACTGGGAAAAGTAATGAATTTCGATTACAAATCAGAGACAACATACTTCCTTTTTCCGAAAATAAATTCTAAACCTAGAAAACTTTTCAAGGAATTATCAAAAATTTAAAAAAAAATTTGAAGAGAAATTTAAAGGAATTCTAAGGAATTCAGAGAAGAATACCAAAGCACAGACTACGGAAAGTCTCAAGTAAATTTAAGTGCTCTAAACCAGGTTTACCCATATAGTGAAGTCTGGTTTACGGCTTAAGCGGAGGTGCGCTGAGACTGACACAGCGTCGCTTTTGATATAACATTATGAAAGACGCAAAATTGTACTCCAGTAACAATTTTGAATCAAAGGTTGTGCTCTCAAACCTACTATTTTCTTAGCCTTTTAAAGGTGTTGAACTAAAAATGATCCGAATCAGTGTTGGGAAAATATCAAAAAATCAAATCTCACCAACGCCCAAGATCACGCTTGATTTTCGTAGACAAAAATCAACAAGCAAGCTGTGATATCGCAGCTCGGAATATCAAGCTAACAAAACTCACCAGCTGCAAATCTCACCAAACTGTGGTGAGATTGAAATTTCATGATTTTTACTTTACACCCGAACGGAACCGAAACTTCCATAGCTGCTGGCAGCAGTCACTTCGTGTCTGCCATCGGTGAAAATTAAAAAGAGATAGCAAGCTATGCTTTCTCTTTCTAAGAAAACGATGTGAAATGGAATCATTTTTGTGTCGAGTCAACTCTCAGCTTGATTTTTGCACGTTGTGAATAGTCTCGCAATATCAAAGGAGCTTGTAAAATCAATATCAAGCATGATATTTTGTGATATTGCGAGCGCTTGAGAGCGGTAAAATATCAATTGATTTCTGATTTTACCAACACTGATCCGAATTAAATTTTCTAAATGACGTAATTCTACATCTAGAGATTTTAATTATCTTGATTTTTCTTATTTTCTGAATTGACAATCATTTTATGTGGACGCTTGTGGAGCAGTGCAGAAAAATGTTACACATAAGGTGTTGAAGGGTTAAGGTTAGAAACCGTGTTAGGATGTTGTTTGCATAATCAAGAATTTATGTTTATAGGCTAATTGTTTGTCAGAATTTTAAGTTTTTAGCTTATATAACCGATTGTGACATGTATTCCAAGGGATTGACGAAAGAAGATAAGTTTGGCCATAGTGGTCGTATCTTGGTCACTCATCAAATTTCATAAATATTTCATGAAATAGAACGTTTCCGAGGACAGTTATAGGCAAGATTCCTATAGTACGGATTGGTTCTTGCCGGATTCCTATAGTACGGTCGATCCGGCATAAACGAATACACATACCATATGGGATTTGAGCTGATTGGGGCCAAACACTGATTTGAAGAAATAACTTCCTGATGGGTTTTGAGAAGTTGTTAAGCAGACAGTTTTCCACCTTTTGGGATCAGTCAGTTTCCGGTAGGTCACAAGTCTGCCCCTGGGGAAGATCCGGAACATCCGTAAAAGTGGTCAATCAATGAAACTGATCTTAGAGCTCCGTGGTTTTATTTAGAAACCACCCATAAACGTTTTATCACAATAAATTCAGAGTTGTGACCAGAAAATTGACACTTGGGTTCACGGGATGGTCCACTAAAAGATCCGGAACATCCGTAAAAGTGGTCAATTCATGAAACTGATCCCAGAGCTGCGTGATTTTTTCGAAACCACTCATCGACGTACCAGACAATTGACACTGCGGACCACGACATGGTCCTCTCAAATTTTCGGAACATCCGTAAAAGTGGTAAATTCATGAAACTGATCCTAGATCTCCGCGGTTTTTTCGAAACCATTCATCGACGTCTTATCACAATAAATTCAGAGTTGTGACCAAAAAATGGACACTGGGGACCACGGGATGGTCCACTAAAACATCCGGAACATCCGTCAAAGTGGTCAATTTATGAAACTGATCCTAGATCTCCGCGGTTTTTTCGAAACCATTCATCGACGTCTTATCACAATAAATTCAGAGTTGTGACCGAAAAATGGATACTGGAGACTACGGGATGGTCACTCAAAAGATCCGGAACATCCGTAAAAGTGGTCAATTCATGAAACTGACTCTAAAGCTCCGTTTTTTTTTTTTAAATCGCTCATAGACATCTTATCAGAATGAATTCGGAGTTGTGTTTGGAATATGAACTGTGAAGACTACGGTCCACCAGAAAATCCGGAACATCCGTAAAAGTGGTCAATTCATGAAACTGATCCTAGAGCTCCGCGTTTTTGTCGAAACCACTCATAGACGTCTTATCACAATAAATTCGGAGTTGTGACCGGAAAATGGACACGGGGGACCACGGGATGGTCCACTAAAAGATCCGGAACATCCGTAAATGTGGTCAATTACAGGGCTGTTACAACAGGCGCGGATTTTTCGCAGATTTGTCGCAGATTTGAACTTTCAGTCGCGAAAATCGCGGAAACATTTAATGATGTCGCGAAAATTGCTATGGGACTTATGTGCTGTCACAAAAATTGTGGAATTCATTGTAACCATTCCGTCCCGGATTATTTTGCTGTCATCAATTTTGTTGTTCATTTGGCTCTCAATATTTGACCGGTTCAAACAAAACACCCTACAAATAATCGCCATGTATACCTGATATTCTAGGTTCTCCAAATCGTCCTGGAATTCAGTTGATTTGCCCTACTATATCAACCAAATAGAGATGAACTAGCCAACGGCTAAAAATCTCTCTAATAAAGTAAAAAAAAAAAAAAAAATCAACCAAAACTGCTGCAGTATCGAAATATATCCAAACAGATTCAAAGTGTCTATGTGGATCGCGCCCGACCTATTGCAACGTGTTCAAGATGTTATAAGTTCCGAAATCATTCTGGAGATCAGATTATTTATCTACTAGATCACCCAAGACTAATTCAATATCTGTAGTATCGAAATATGTCCAAACAAATGTGCAGTGTCTATGTGGATTATACCAACCTATTTTCGAGTATGCCAAATGTTCTAGTATTTCCATATCGATATTTAGATATTATCCCAGTCTTTGTTGATCTAGTAAAACAAATCATCTGAACTCTAGAACGATTTGGATGACTTAATCAGGGTGTCTACTACCTGGAAAAACCTGGAAAACCGGGAATTTACAGGGAATTTTATTTTTTTCTGGAAAAATCTGGAATATTCAGGGAATTTTGCTTCCACTCAGGGAATTTTCCAATTATCACTACATTCGTAATTCAAAAGAAGTATTTCGTTCAGTTTCTCGAAACGTTTCTTAAGGACACTGAACTTGACAAGCATCTGACAGCTAAGACAACGTGTGCGAGCGAGACAAGTTCATTCAGAGAGTCTTGTCACGCTCGCTCTTCGCTGATTTGTATGTGGAGGATCAAAATCGTCGTAAAAAGGAAACAGCCGATAAAGAGAGACTGGCAACCGTCAAAAGGAAGCATACGAAGCATGTATTGTATAAGAATAAGCATGCCAGACAGTAGTTCGTAGATCTTCAGAACATAGCTACAGAACTTTGAAAAAAATTACAGGACTTCTGAAAAAATCACAAGAATCTCAGAAATGTTAATGGATCTTCAGTAAAAATTGCAGAACTTCAGGGAAGTTCGGCGATTTAAAAATTAATATTTACACGATTTCAGGAAAATTTGTAGATCTTGAGAGAGACATTTAAAACTTCAAAGAAGCTCAAATATTTTCAGATAAATTTTGACAACTTTAGGTAATCTTCAAGGAAATTTTCAAATCTTCAGGGTAACCCTAGAGGAATTTACAAAACATCAGAGAAGTTTGCAGATCTACTGAGAAATTTATTGAGCCTCAAGTTTTTTTTGTAGATCTTGGGAATAGAGCTATGGAGCTTAAGACAACTTTACAGAACTTTAAAGATATTTGCAGGAATTTGACAGAAAGTTTTACAGTTTCACACAAATGTGAGATCTTCAGAAAAATTCGTTTAATGTCAGAAAAGCACCTCAATTCCAAAAACAATTCGCAGCGAAGTACAAAAGTACAATATGTTGCAGAACTCCATGGAAAATAGATCTAAAGAACTTCAGAGAAGTCCGTAGATCTTAAGAGAAGTCTGTAGAACGTCAGAAAGTTCGTACGTTTTTAGAAAAATTGGAAAACTTCAGCAAAACTCACAGATCTTCGGGAAAGTTCGCCGATCTTTAGATCAAGAATCCACAAAGAAATTTAAAGAACGTAAGAAAAGTTCCGAGATCTACTGTAAAATTTATTGAACTTCAGGACAGTTCGTAGATCTTTAGAGCAGAAATACAGTACTTCAGAAAACTTTACAGAATTTGAAATAAATTTTAGGAACTTCAGAAAAGTTCAGAGGGTAGGTCGTAAATCTATTCAAAAATTAGCAGATGTTTAAATAAATTTTCAGAATTTTACTGCGGTTCTTC